GCCTGCGCTCGCGCCGCGCGGAGGTGTGCGGGGGCGGGGGGCAGGAGCAGCGGCCCCATCCACCTGACGGCGGAACGGCCCAATGGCCGCCAGGGAGGGGCGGGGCCAYCTGCGCTTAAAGGGGCAGCGCAACAGGTGGCCGGGCGGCCGTTAGGGCCGTTACGGGGCCCGCCGCGACCCCCATTAGGAGCAGAAACAGCTTTAGACCAACCAAGACACGTGTCTTGCACAGCTCCTTTCGCAGCTTGAGTGCACCGAGGCTGGACACGGAGCAGCTGTTTCCCCACACAGCCCACACTCTCCCCACCCCCATTTAGGATTTGGCCCTAAGAACAGCATTTTGGGGTAAAAAGCACATGCCCTCCACACACACAGACAATATGGACACCTCCTTGAGCTGCAAAGAGACRGCCAGCTCTGTGCAGTGTGAGGAAGCAGAGATGGCGGCCACCAGCCCTGGGGCTGCAGGGATTTGACCYTGCCAGGCAGCTGCCCTTGCCCCGAGCAGCTCACAGCTGCCGCCCGTGCTTGACTCGTCTCATTTGTGTCCCCTTACCCAGAAAAGCGTCACGTTAAGCAAGCACTTCCCCTGCAGTGRGCACCGCGCCGGGAAACAAAATGCCCTTCACGCAAGGAAAATACTGGGATGGAGACTTCTTGGGAAGAGCTAAAGGAACACATGGTAGAAGGAAGTCCACCAAAGCCACTCAGTAGCCAAGAGACTTATCAAGGAGGTATCAGACACTTTCCTGTTTATTTAAACATTCTTTTTTTTAAAAAAAAAGAAATCATCATTAAAGATGATGACTTGTTTCACAGGGCCCACATGTCTGAGAAGCATATAAATATCCTGTAGGTTTCAAACCACCACCTGTTACTTTTCTCCAGAACATTTTTGATTGATGGTCATTTTYCCAGTCAACACAAGAAGCTGAGATTGCATTAAACACAGGCACAGCTCTCCCTGCTTAGGGCGCTTCCCTCTCCTCCGCAGTTTGCAGATCAGACAGCACGCAGCACAACTGCCTTCGCTTATTCATGCTAGGACTTCAGAGCTCTGCAACGCTCACGAGAAAACAAAACCGCCCAGCACACACGGGGCCAGCCCTYGGGGCAGATCATAGAGCTATAGGAACGCAGAACCCACCTTACTTCCTCCAACAACCTTTATTCTGCGCAGCTTTTGAGCCCCCAAAGTCCAAGGATGACAGTGACAACCCCTATCCCCAAGTCCTCCATCTCTCATCATCTTTCTTCTGACATCTTGAACTGAAGGCTGATGCAGGTCTTAACTCTCAGTCCTCCCACTCTGGGTCTTGTTCAAGTGGTCAAAGCTTCTTTGGAGCATAGAAAGAGAGGTCTTAAGCTGTGAAGACAAAAAAAAAAAGTCATCACTCCTCCCATACCTCTTATCCTTGCAGCAGAGAACCAGAATGGTTTGCTCATTCTTTTAAAGATTTGGTGCAGTTTCCCTCAGTGCACTTTCTTTCTCCCTCTTCTTCTACACAGCCGCCTACTTCAAATGACCTTACTGTGCTATCCTAGCAAATATATAACTGTATAATTTATAATATACTATAGATATGCTTAAATTCCCAATACTCTGCTAGATAATAATAGCCCCCAAAAGAAGAGAGTGGCTTATTTTAGTCATGGTCAATGCTCATAGCAAATACTTTATGGAACATGGTGGCARCCAGGCATTAATTTTGTTTTAACCCATGGTTGTGCATTCTGAGCACAAAGTGTCATCAGAATACTGCTAACCCTTAGAAAACACAGATCATGACACTAAAATGCACCATGACTTTTAGGGGGGAAAAAAAAAAAAAGGGGTGATGATATGGAAAAGGTGGTTGAATTTTCACTCCATTCTTCTAGGGGTTTCATTCATTGTGTACTTTTAGCAGGCATTTTAACACTTTGAATTAAGAGCTGTTTGAGTGGTAGGGAGAGAAAGAAACAAAGAAGGTCAAGAAAAACAGAAACTTCTTTTCTACTGTGAAATTTCCAACACTTCAAAATTGAAGTTGTGATCGCAGTGGTTAATAATAGATTAATAGCAATTTTGCATGCAAAGACACCTCTGAACACGAAATACCAAAAAAAGGCTTTTCTTCCCTCCTGCAGTGTGTGGGAGAACAGCTAACTGCTGATGGAGAGGTACATGTGAACTCCGGCATGCACAGCTTCCTCTGTCACATTTTAAGATTTAATAMAGACTTTAAAAAAGTGTATCCATATCAATAAAAATCAGAGTCTGAATTTCCTGTCCTTCACTTGAACTGTAAATTCTACCTAGGAGTTGAACAGTCCAGAACATCACAATTGGAGAGAAAACAGCATCCCACAACATGAGTTTTATGTAACATCCATAAGATGAAAGAGCTGGAAACCACAGCATAAATCACTGGGAAGAAGGGATAATTTCATAGCTGTAGCACCCTCCACCAAACCTCTCCTGAAACATACTGGCTGTACATGTATCTAGGAAGGTCATGGCGAGCAGAGGACAGGATAAACCTGTATTAAGAAACCTCACGAGATAAGCAAGTACTTAATGCTATGCCTTGACTCTTCTTAGGAGAGGAGGATCATTTCTGAATTACTTCAGTCTTCGCTTTGTCATGATTCAGAACTGCATCAATGCACTTCATCAATAAACTTCACTTGACAGCTTTAAGAGAATCATCATGAATATTTAATCTTAGTGGGGTAGGGACAGGGAGAGAAGGAAAAAATATATATATCTATCGAAGATGAACATTGCCTCTACAAAATTCAAGCCTTGAACCAAACCAAGGTGAAAGTAGTCATAAAACATTCAATTAGCGTCATAAAACATCAGACAAAGCTATGGTCAGACATGGGAGAAGAACTGGAAACAGGACTAGCACCAGGAAAGACTGCAAGCTACCTGTTCAAGCATTTCAATTGAATCTCTCAGCACTCCCTTCACATGCTTAACCTGCTCCTTATCATACTGAGGGATCTCTTCTTTTGATACCATTTCTGGAGATATGCTGAAAGAAAAAAGAGATTACATTGAAAGCACAGAACATGCAGGCCTCCATGCCTATCCACAAATGCCCTTTCATTTCTGGGAAGAAAAACAACCACAAAAATGGCCACGAAGGAAAGGGCATGCGTTGTGCCTATAATTTAGTTAAAGGGGCAAGATTTTTGTTCTTACGGAAGCTACTTAAAAGAATTTTACACAGTCATTGCATAACCTCCATATTCATGGCCAGGTTATGTGTTTTTTAAAGCTCATTTGCCAATACCACATCCAAAACAAGTAGCAACATCTGAACATCTTTAGGTCCAAAAATACATGAGGCACCTAACATGGARGCTTGGGGTGGAGGGAGGAATTTACCAAGAGGCAAAACTAGAAGATTAGAAGATAAATGAATCTTTAAGATTAGATTTGAGATGATTCTGTGTGAACTAGCACGAAGTGAACACRCTGGTTATCAGCACCATGCTATTGACAGAAGATGAGTCACAACAGGGTGATAATTGCAAACTGAGGTTAACTCTCCCCAAAAGCAGTTTGCCAAAGAAGTTTAGTGCTTCAAGACGTAGCCAGATATGTTGCTGAATATCGTCACAGACCTCAAAGCTACAACATCCAACAGTTTTTGAAAACTTATTACCAAGTTTCACTGCTCCAGGTCTATTTCTTTAGATCRGATTCTGACATAAGCCAAGGAAGAAAGAAAACAAAGACCAACTTACTTCAGGGTGCTTTCTTCCTGAAGCTGGACATGGTAGAGGGACTGAGCTGCATGTTCAATCTTTGACAGTTTGAGAAACAGTGTTATGTTCAGCAAAACCAAGAGCAGCAAACTATACAGAGAGAACAAGAGTCAGACCGGTTTTAAATTACTCCTCTTACAGTACTGCAAAAAATCAAGATTTGGGTTACAGAGAAATACAGAGAGGATCCCTCCTGAGCTGAAAGGAGGGTGCCATTTCAGGGGAGCATTTTGACATGGGACAGTGCCAACAGTTCCTAGCAAGTAKCTTTGTCATAGGTTGATGTTCCATGGCTTAAATAACAGTAGTGCCTCCCACTGAAGCTTTTTTAACCTAGAAATAAGTAAATACTGGAAAGTGTGCTTTTGTTTTGTTGTTTTTGTAGGATTGGACATATGCCAACCAGAAAGGCAGACTTGTTTGGCAAGTCAGTATTTTCCTTTCATGTATGTCACTTCTCAAGTCCATTCATTTCTCTCTCGTACCTGAGTGCACTCACTCCTGCATTGCTATCCTGCTGCATGCAGTGTGGACAAGCGAGTAYAGTTAACTACAGATGAATACCAAGATGAGCTCCAGTCAAGTCATGTTTTAATGCCAAGTAGTACTTACAAATAGTACTTACAAGATACTCATGACTACGATGATGGTGGTGGTCCTACTTAGAGGATCTCTTTTTCTTTCTGTGTGGAAGAGAAGGAGGTTTAAATAAATGCTCAAGAACATTCCTAAGGGATTCCTGCAGACAAACATCAGGGCTCAGCATTGCACCAAGAATAGCTCAGAGTCAACAGGCTCATGCCAGTGCACAAAATATTGCAGCTTCCATTGGATGCACCGAAAGCAATTTCTGCATCCAGCTCAGACAAGCCAGCTGAACAGCCTGACCCTTCCACCACAAGGGACATCTCTCCTCCCTTCCCACAAAGATACAYTGCAGAGACCATAGCTCTGGCCACCTTCTTTGTAAGCCCAGATATCCCGAGAAGGCAACAGCCGATCCTACTAGTAGCAACCATTCCACACGCACGCTACCRGTCATGCTAGCAAAGATTCCAGCCTGCAGTGCCTCTCTCTTCCTCTTGCTCCCCTGGACATATTGGTCCTGCTACCAATCAATCTGACAGTGTCAAAAACCTTCCAATTRTCCCACAGTCACCAGCTCAGCCTTGGCATCAGTCTGAGGGCAACACTGCAATTGAGTAAAGAGCTTTTACTAGTGAGACAACAGCACCTGACACAAGYAAGGCACAGGTGGAAGTGTACATGTCCTCTCTAAAACAGAAGTCATCCACTGCTGTGAACGGGCTCATCTTCAAATTACGTGATCTCCTTAAACAGCTCCTGCTATCTGTATTTGCTGCCTGGGGCAGGAGGAGCACATCAAGGCTGCAGCCCTGCACCAGCACAGACGCGCTCACTGCAAGGGAGGAGCAGCAGTGCCAAAGCTAAGGGCTCTGCAAGGAGTCGCAGCGAAAAGGAAACCCTCAAACATGCTCCCAACGCTCTCCGATGCCCAGGGTCGTCTCCCCTCCTTCCAAAGGGCTTTTGCTCCTACTTCACTACTCAATTTGCCCTGCGTCATGAAATTCTGTGTTCTYTGGCACACAGCCGCGCGCATATGTTCTCCATCTCTGTAGGAGCAGTTCCTGTACAACAGATGGGGTTCAGGCACGGTGGGCTTGGTGGCAGTGGAACTGCAAGAACTGCTTCAGGGACGCCAAAGTTACAGAACAAACAAAAATTGAATTGTTTAATGAGAAGAGTATGAGATGGTAAGGCCAACTGGTGAGGAAGCTTAAGCATCTCATAAATCAGGCATGTAATTTGAATAAATAAAAATATATATTTTTCAGCAACTTCTCAAAAACCAGGTTTAATTGAGTCCCACTCCCACCTCACTTTCAATCCTAGGCAGCTCTAGTGCACCATTAGGAGTTTTTCGTTTTGAGGAAAAGAAGCAAGGGCAGATTAGATTTGATTGCATGAAATACTCATCATAAAGTGAGCACATGTCCCAAATCTATTTGATGCAAGCCTGAGTATGCTACTGCACTTGCCATCACAACAGTTAAATGAAGACAGCAAGAATCACATGTACACAAGTGTTTCTCTTGTACCGTTTCAATTTAAGAATCAGAACTTATTTGAACACACTTTTTGGACAATATCTCATATAAAAATCAAATCCTACCTACTATGCCACCCTGTGGCTCTAGCCCCATGTCACCAGAGGAGTGCTGGGAGGAGCGTTTGGGAAGCGATTCCGCCAAACCCCGGTGTAAAGTGCGTCGTCTTCGTCTTAAGGCAACTAGTTTTCCAGAATCTTCTATGGATTGACTGATTGCATATTCCTCCATTAGCAGTTCCGATTCTGCAGCAGAAAATAAAGCTCCTTAACTTTCCATTTGCGCTATCTGGAGAAAGCCTAGCATGGAAGGCTTACGTTGTGAGTTGCTACAGTGGGTGACGGAGAGAAAAACAGGCGAGTCTTCCAGTAAGTGAACTTAAAGCAAGTTACTAACTTAAGTTACACTTTAAACCTGTTATTACCCAACTTCTTTACTGCATTTAACTCTTAAACTGCGCTTCACGTGCTTCCTATATACAATGTACATATTTGTCTTACRCAGGGTGGTGTTGTGGGTGTGCTAGGCTGCAGCACCTCCCGAGACGCCGTCAGCCTGATGGTCTGGGAGCTGTGTTAGGCTGGAAAGGCTGCAGCTGGACAGGCTGTCAGCAGCGGAGTGGGGAGGCGTTAGAAGCAATGCAGTCGTAGCGTGGGACCTGCTCCTCTGGGCACTCAAGATCAAGGAAATAACTGGATTAAGTGGAAACACAAGCGGTTCAGAGTAACTACTTTGCTCCTGCTCCCTTCAGAAAGCAGCAGGGTACACAGGAGCCCTCTGCTAGCATTAGGCCACCAGGTTTCTCTCTGCAGGTGTACTGAAGAGGGGAAGTTCYGACTTGGGGATTCCTTTGGTGCTACCTTGTTTTCACATCATTCCTCAGGGAATCAAGTTTCACAGACATTAAGACACACACAGGGAAAAYGGACTCCTCGTGCCATCACAAAGAGCAAAACCTCACCAAGCTGTTTGAAGTTCTCCTGTATTCCTCCCCAGGTGTTCTTCTCAATTACAGACTTGACAAGGCCCCAAGGCTGTTTTTTGTACTTGACTTCTGAGGAAACCCTAATAAAGAGAACAGAGCAGTGAGAAGAGTCCCCTGCGGGGTGACAAACYGTAACACATCTCACCTGCACAGGCCTCTAGCCCATGTCCAAAATCTGAAATACCAACCAGAATTGCCCTGACTTTCCACCTGAACAGCACTTAACACCAAAGCAGAGAGACACAGACACCAGCAACGACAATACCCTTAAGTAAAGCCTCAGGAATTTAGATAATATAAGAAACATTTCCAAGTTTCTTTTCCTTTCAGACTCAGCAGAGAAAATTTGTCTCTGCAAAGCGYTCTGACTGGTTCAGAACATGTTATAGGCTTCAAATTAGGAAGTCTTTCCCCCCTCCCCCCCCACATGTGTATAGATGAGGTTTTACATAGGCACTGCAATGGCAGCAGGGGAAGGGAAGAGAAAAAAAAAAAAGGAGACAATATTAGCACTCAAACACCAAATGTTAGAAAGGATCAAGTTGGTTGATTCAAAGACACAAATACAGCCCTTGGAAAGGAAGAATAACTCACGAGGACTCATTCACAAGCATGGCCCCAAGCCCTTCTTCCCCTTCACCCGCCCCCCTCCAGGTACAGCGCTAGTCTCACGCTATGACAGAGCTGAAGATGAACCTGAATAAACCCAGGCTTGCCTGCCTTTCTGGGTGATAACGGCTTGTGAGATAAAGGGTCTTACTAAAGACAACCCAGAAAGAGCTACTAAAAATGATCAGAAGGTGATCTGAAGTGATCAGAAAGTCTGACAAATACTGTGAACATGGAATTCGATCACAGCTGGCATTTTGGTTTTGACAAAAGGGAAAGGGAAGCATCTTTTAAGACCTTCTCATCTACCAAGAATCTTTAGGATTAAGACCAGTTCTCAAACACCTCCATTAGAAAGAGAGTTCCTTTTCGCCCTTAGCTCCCTGTGGAGCTCTTCTGCAGGCTCTTAGTAATGTTATTTCAGAAACCACACATCAAAATATCTTATCTGGTTCTGACTTAAGACAATGCACTCTAAAACCCTGCAGGCTGTTTAGAACCCGGCCCACACTCTCAAGAGATGAGTGCAACCAACGCAGGAGCTTCTTTCTCTCTGATAACCGGATCTAAGGACAGCAAGTCTACGACAGGAGACACCGACTTTATGTTTCCAGAAGACATCTCCCATCTTACAAGGCATTGACCTTGAATGACTTGTACTGACCTTCACAAGCAGGTCTTGTTGTTGCAGTGACCTGTTAACACACGCACCCACCTTGGCCCCTGCCCTCCCACTGCGGCCCCCCGGCTCACCGTAGCCGGCACTTGTGACTGGACGTGCGGCTGATGTAGTACCGGTTCACAGTGTAGAAATAGTCGTGGTAGGGGACGTCGTGGGTCAGCACCTCTGCATCCACCTGGTAAGACTCGCCTTTCTGGCTCTGTTTATGCAGGATCTGCCCAGGAAATAAAATAGAGGAAATAAATACTAATGCGGCTCAATTTCTCCCTTTTTTCAGCCTGAATTCCTTGGAGTAGAGCAACCATCTCCAAGTGAGCTGGAGTAGGTAAAAAGCCTAAACAAGCATAATAAAAAATTGTAAAGAAAGACAAGCAGGGGCTGCTGGGGAAAGAAGATACCTCCAACTAYAGTCAATACAGGCAGCTATTGTACTCATCTTTTTCCCCCCGTTACCACTTCTTCAAGAGCAACACACAAGTCAAGCCACTGCCTTATTAGCACCAGTCTGCTTTCCATTTCAGATAGGAGACCTATCCCAGGGCACAATCCAGGGCATTTTCCGCCCCCATCCCACTCTGCCCCAGCTCTTCCCCTCAATTCATCCACTAAAACACTAATAATTTTTCCTACAGAGTCTGTGGGAGAAGCATACAGCGCCCTGTACAGGTGTGATGGCCAAGCTGACTACATCAGCATTTGCTCAGTAAGTGTGAGGTGGGCAGCAAGCCACCCTATATTTAAACTCCAAAGCCACAGTCTGCTCACTGCACTCTACTGCAGAGCCAGTTGTGACCTTCCCTTTTCTTTAGGGGACACTGGGCAGCCACACGGGTTACCTGCTTTTCAGTGGCAGTTGTGAACTTCCCACAGAGTGGATTGTTGATCGTTATAGTGTAGGTCAAAGTCCTCAGCTGGTTACCACTGGTGTCTCTGTTCCACGGAGTTGATACTGCATCTAGATGACAGGTTAAGCACACTAAACCACAGGMGGAAGTGCATCGTGGGCTAAATTACCTAAAGGCACCATTTCCACCCCTGCATATCAAAGCAACCAGTTTAAGAGCAGCAGCAGCAGGGAGAGGCACGGTAAGCTCATTCTARGCGGTGGGAGTCTTGCAGGAGAAGTGAAATTTGCAGTTCACTGAGTGAACAAAATTAAGATGAGAAGTATGGAAGCCGAAGCTGGTGCTGCTGAAGGAAACAYGGGGAGGAGGTGTAAAATGTGAATGAAAATATGCCACTTCCCAGCTGCTTCGGGAGTTGGGGATTCACTTAGCAATCCCAAAATGCTTTTGCCACTCTGCCTTCAAATAAGTATTACCCTTGAAGGGACTTAATTTTCTGTTCTTATAATCTCAATGAATAAAGTTTACTCATCCAGAAAATTAAAGCCTGTGAGCATCATTTAGGAGAATGCAACAGTTTCTTCTGTGCCTGCTGTACGGATTCCACTATTTTGGGGACATAATGTGTCCCACACAATGCAACAACTTAATAACCTATCCAAAGCCCAAGGATTATGGTTGTGATATAGTATGCTCTGAAACGAGGTTCTGTTCTGAAATATGACTGATCTATGCAAACAACAGGGCAGCTTGAGATATTCTTTTTTAGTAGAAGATTAGAATTGCAAAATTAATCACAAGGAGAACCTAAAGTTCAACTCAACCCTATTTAACATTTCAGGATAATTTACCGCAGAAGGGAGAAGCGTGTATTACCTACTATACTCCTGGAGCTGAGGAACCTCTGCATGAAGTGGGAATTGGTGAAAAGGATTTCAAACATCTTGTCTGCAGTGATGTGGAAAACTCTGTTTATAAAAATTCTCCCATAGAGATCATTCTCAGAGACAGCCTCCTTCACTGTTAAGAAAAGGTAGAGTTCAGGTTAAGAAAGAGCAACCCCTTGCAAAAACTTCTTAATACTCCAAGCTTTATTAGAGCTCAAGCTCTTTCCAAGCCTGCATCAGCTGCCTTTGCCCTCGGAAATCTAACAAGCCAGGAGCTGGYGTCACAGTTCAGCGGGTTGCCTGCAAGAGCAAAGCCCAGAGCTGATTTTCTAGCCCTCCCCAATTTATCTCCCTTTACAAACGTAAGCTGATAAATCAACAACTCAGAGTCCTGTCCTTTTAGTTCTGCTTTCGCTGTTCTACTAATCCTATAAAAATTATTTTGGAAGATGGAAGTTCTTCATTTAATATGTGCCTATTGCACAAAGGACACAGGGCAAGGCAAGCAGGACAGTGAGGGCACGTTAGTTCTGATTTTTATTTGTGGCACCTTTCAGATTACTGCTTTTAATTTCTATCTGTAGTATCCATGTTCCAGATGACCAGCTCTAAACTCACAAAAACACCCTTTCCCAAACTGTTACTCCCTCTCTATCTRTTAGAAGTGGAATAAAATGTGCCTTACTCCCGTTTACAGTACTGAAAAACAGCACCAAGATACATTCTCAGCCTCCCCTATTTCAGGCCACTGACAAGGACCCCAGTTGTTTACTGGGCCAGCAACACTGAGTTGGGCTTTTTCTGCCTCTGATGGGTGCTGCTATGACTCAGCTTTGTGGTTTTCTCAGCTACTCTTGCAAGAGATGAAGGACAGAACTATAATCCTAAAAGTAAAGTGGCTTCTTGTGCCTGCCTCAATCTGCATCTTTTAGAAACAAGCCTAGCTTAAGTTAGTATCACACAAACAAAACCAACAACCCCACCACCAAAAACAAAATACTACTGAAAGTAAATCTCAGGGAAGTGAAGGCAGAAGCCAGGCCAGCTAAGCTTTCATTTGACAGAAACGAATGCTCAGAGCTAGCAAAGATCAACACCAGCCACAGCACAAAGGCMGCTTGAATATCATGCTATAGTTCACAAGCTGCCTATAGGCTAAGGTTACAGCACTTAAAACATTACTCTCCTGTAGCAGTCAATGTTGATAAATGCAAATGGAGCAACTAAACACCAGACAAAACAACCTAATGAAACTCAATTCCAACTCCCAGCAAACTAGTATTCCAATTCTCCTAGCCCCATAAAAGGCTCTATAACATTAACATATCTCAACACAGAAGGAAACTTTTACCTCATCAGGCTTTAAGATAGGACCCCAGAAGTGCTTAAGTGCTCCACTTTTATGCTTGTACAAGMGGGACTTCCTGCCTACGCTACCTTCTGCTTACGAAACATCTATTTATTCGCCGAGTCGAACACAAAGGGAGCGGGTATTTTGAGAGGTCTGTTTAGCAACCCTGGCAGAGCCAGCATTTGCTAGCAAGCAGCTTCTGCTGTGCAGAAGAGACTGCAGGCAGCCAGAAATGCAGCCTGGCTTTTCAGCCTACACTGACTACGCTTCCTCTCGGCGTTGTGCCTGGTTCCACCAGAATTCAAGCTCTGGGTGAGTGCAGGTTCCCCCTCAGTTAGTCAGCCCCCATGTTACAGACGTCTACCAATCTGGAGTGCATTTTGCCATGCCCATCTTCTACTAAGGAGGCAAGAAACCTCCGATACTCTGGTGCTGACTACCCTCTGGCTGCCACCCACGAGCAGATTGACTCAGCCCGCCTTTGCTGTGGCCAAGGAATCGCCACCACCACCTGAGAAATACAAAGGCCCAGGCACAGCCAAGTCCCTGGCACCGGCTGAGCTCTCACAGCTCCTCGTTTACGTGCTGGCAAATGCAAGGCAATACAGACCTCTTTTGCTCCATGAGGCTTAGCTCATGATTTTATATTCACTTAGTATGATTTTATATTCACCCATATCATCTAAGGACAGACACACAGTTTTTGTGCTGACGGACTGGAACCTGATAAACCACGGCAGCTTCTATGCCAAAAGCCCAMGCATTATTAAAGTCCAGACTTTGCTACTGGGAGTATTTTTCTCTACAAGCACCAAAGTCTCTCCCTTTGCTCTAAGCCTTAGGCTATGGCGAATTCTCATCACTTGGCTCTTAAGYGAGAGCATTCATGGTCTAGAACATCTTTTACTCTGCAGACAGAGGCTCCTGTTACCTGACGTGCTGCGTATTGACTGTTTCTTAGAAACACGACTAAGCAGGCGGCGAGCTGCCAAGTGCTGGGAGGGACGTTCCTGATGGTTTTACATGCAGCCCGGCAGGTTTTGACAAACCCACGGTGTTACCAAGAGCATTCTCCAGAAACCCCAGCTGAAGTTCAGGTTGAAGTTGAGGCTGGAACAAACATTTTACAGATTGTGTGCGACTGATTCAGAAAATACCCTTTATGAACAAAAGGCATCTACTTCTGCAAACCCTAGTCTAGCCCCTCAGCTTTGTTATTCTAGCCCTTCAGCAACACACAGTAATCAACTGCTAGTKCTTGCAGCCGTGGTGTATCTATAGATGAATCAGAGACACCATCTGATGGTAAGAAAACACCGGATTATTCAGAATAAGGGAGGCTCCCCAGGGACCAAGGTCTGGAAGCGACTGCATTGCCCAGCGCATCCCCGTCCGGCAGAGAGAGCTCCCTCCCACACCACTGCCGTGCGCTTCGTAAGGTCATTCCCATCACTGCAAGGGAAGCTGTAAAATACTCCTTGAATATAAAACCATTATGTGCCAGTGATTGCAGAGGTTTGGAAGCCTCTGCAGTGCTAGACAAGACAGAAAAAAAACGGAGGAGGAAGGAGACAAGAGCTATTTCTGTTCTTCGAGCTCCCTTTAACCACTAACAGCTTGCAAAGCTTGAAGAAAGCCACAAGCAAATAAAATAACATAAAAAGAAAGAGGGGAAGAGCACCCCCAGCCTATGCAGGGACTGCCAGCAGATCGGCAGGACTTKATTTCTGCAGCCTGCAAAAAGGGGAGAAATGAAGACCCCAACCAGAAGGGCCCCAAAGTCAAGTCAATAAAATCTCTTCGGAGAATGACTGAGTTCCATGTACAACCTGTGTCAAGGCTACAGCAGCAGGACTAACTGTAATCAAGGAACTCTGCCATAYTTGGAAAGGCTTAGTATAAACTTGGAAAGAGGTGCTGAGCAAATTTGGGGAAGAGATYTGCTTTTCTCAGCTTACCAAAACCGCGTGTGTGCCTCCTGCCTGCAAGCAACGCGGGTTTCTTCTCAACTCCAAAGCAACAGCTACTCGACACTTATACATCAAACATGTATTTTCAGKGGTTTGCTTAATGTCAACAAGGTAACAGGACTAGTCTTTACATACACCGTACACCCAGAATTTCACATTTTGAAATAAACAGGACTGAACTCCTTTCAACCACTCTGTGTATCTATTTCACCCCCCATATTCCCCCCTATCTGCAAGAAGAGACAACCCACGGCTATACCCAGCTCACACTACCACAGCAAGAGCAATGAGGCTTTCCTGCAGATTACACATTTAGGGTGAATATTAACACAAAYAGTGCAAAAAGCCTCTCAAGCATATGCAAAGTGCTCGGAAATTTTATGATGTCCCACATACCCAGCAAAACTTTCTAACAGAAGGCAAGCAAACAAACCCCCACGTTTTCCACTTCCAAGCTTTCCCCTTTGAAGTATTTCATGCTGCCACACATTGTAGATGCATGTACATACATACAAAAGAGTTATTTGAAAAAAAAATATTCAGAATCTGTTGATTCTCTTTTGGGAATATATATGCTATACTCAAGTGTAAATTTCAGAAAACAAGTTTTATCTTCAGCTGCAGATACTGCTTTTTCGCTGAAGCAGAAAACTCCTGTCACAGTCCAAGGTTATCCTCAGGCCCTAAGAAAGCAAGAAGCACCACAGTGTACTCCATAAAGCCAGTGGGGCAAAGAGGCCCCCTGCCCCACAATGGGGTGGGCAATGCCTAGTACCTGGGCACTTGTGTTGCCCTGATGTTCTGGCTTTCAGCAGCAGCAGACCCTGCTGCTGCAGAATGATGGCCTGGAGCTGAGCCCTCACCTTAGCTGCCAGGAGGCCTCCGTGGGCAGCCCAAGCATGAGCCAGAGGACACAAGACAGTAATCAGCACGGGTAAGCCTTGGCCAYGGACGGAAGGTACTTTCTTTTGCATGAAGGAATTCACCTTGTATTAGCTATACTGCAGTTGTGGACAACTGCAATCTGCAATAGAAAACAGACAGGGAAACAAAAGAAAAGAAATTCTGAGCATGAAGAGGGGAATCCAGAGAGATTAATGTGTTGTAGGACTAGAAAATCCTGCTCTGAATACAGAACAGCCCACTCGTCTTGATGGGAGYAAGGAGATATAAGAAAAGCAGCATGAATCTGGCTCTCCTGAAGACAGACATCTCCAGTCTAGCATATTCTATTTGTCCAACRGCAACACAAAGATGACAGGTAGTCTCTGCCACCATTATTTAGGTAAGCAGCAGCAGCAAAGACTATTTTCAGTTACACTGAAGACTTCCATCATTAAAGAGCCAAAGGAGAGAGAGAACTCTTGCTATGAGGATAGAAAAAAAACACAAAGGTATCTAAAACACCAGAAGGCTGACGCTTCCTGCTGCTCTAGGAGATACACCTGTGATGAAGGAAGCAATTTGTAAAGCTCAGGTGTGTAGGAGTATGGTATATACAGCAATCTSTTGGAATAAGCAGGCTCCCAAGAGTTATATACCTTGAACATGCAATACAAGTGGAATTCCAACTCCAGTGAAAACAGAAGCAATGTAGGTGAGCAAAAGGAAAGGTAACAAGCAGCRAAGAATATCCTCAGGCAAGGATCATAACTTGCAGGTGTTTGGTCCATAACTTAGAAGTCTTCCTGGTCATGCTAGTGCTGCCAACTTACTACCTTCTGCAAGGACTTTCAATTGCCTCTGAGCGGAGCGATGAGGCGCAGTTTCTTGGCCAGATTAAAAGCTTGCCTTGACAGACAATATTGCTTTGCTCCTGCCAACATATAAGGAAAGTAACTTCTACCTCTGTATGAGATAATATCCCCAGCKACATCTGAGCACACAGCTGCTGAGCTCCCCCCTTCATTTCATCTGCCTCCCTCTCACATGGCTGTGCAGTCATCGCAGGTTGTGTGCGCCTGGTACCAGGGGTGTTTACAGGGCTCATTCCTGGGGTATTTAGCAGAACCTCTACCACAGCTTGCATCATACACACCAGCACCTCCAACAGCTGTGGCCCTTTGGCCCAAAAGCAAGGGTAACGCTTCTCCTCAAGAGAGGGGCACCTGGAAGGGGTTTTGGGGGGACAGAGCAGATACCCACAGAATTCAGCCCAATTCTCTGCCCTTCAGTCAAGGTGATAACCAAAGCAAGGCACACTCCAGCCTTATACCATCTTCGGAGGAACAGTAAAGTCCTGTTCAAAAGCACTACGAGGCCGACAGCGACACTCTTCTGTTCTAAGGCAGGAACTAGAAAGAAGGCAACACAGCCAAATTATATCCACTAYGTTACTACAGTATCCAAGGTCCACCTAGGCTTCCACTGTGCAGTGAAACGTGCGGATGGTAGAGCAGAACCCACTGAGATACAAACTCTGTTAGCATACAAAAGGGTAAACAGCTCTAAAATACCTTTAATATTTTTAAGGTTTGCCATCTTCAGAGCAGGATTCAGAACATGCACAAATACAATCCACCAATAATACTGAAACCTATAGGCCTTAAGAAATTTGTAGTGCATAAAAGATCTCACAGAAGTTTGAGAGCAGCTGGAAATGTTTCCCCTCATTCCCCAAGGGAAGACAGAGGAAAGGAAGAAGTTTGAAATGCTATYGACAGCAAAGTGAAGTGACAGAAAGCTTTCTAACTGGCTCTAGAAGAGAGAATGTCATGGGAGTCTCATGACTTCCCAGCTGTTAATAGATTTACCTTCTTCACTGTCTGAGGCACTGCTCTTCTCTGGAAGGTTTTCATTCTCATTCAGATCCAAGGATTTTTCTAAGGACCTGCTCCTGACTAGATTAACAGGTTTTCTTTCTGAAGATGGAAGAGGGCTCTTCTTTATTTGCTTTTCACTCGGGGACTCCTCCACCTGAGATACCCAAGAGAAAGAGGCATCAATAACTACCAGCCACACAAAGCAAGTCAGAAAGCTGCTTTCAAAAACAGAAAGCCATACAGAGGAAGCCACAAGTTTTATCTGTTCACTTATCTCCCAGTCAAGCACTAAACCCTCTCTTTGTTCCCCTACTGCAGCCAAGTCCCTTCCTCTTTACTTCAGATTCTTCCACTTCTTGCATGACCACAAACCCATTGACCTAACACAGTTTATTTGTTTTTTAACAGCACGGTAAGACTTCTGCCAACTTAGCAAAGAGCCCAACAATCCTGAGGGAAAACACAGCAAAAGCAAGCAGGGACTTTGCTTTCAGCAGGACTAAATGAGCCAAGTTATGTATTTGGAAAGTACTCATTTTTTATGGCTCCAGTAGCCTTTGGTGCAAGGAACTTGCACACGAGAGGTGCAAGTACATGGATGTGGGTTTTATAAAGGTCTGTAGGCCATCTCAAACACAGAAGCAGGACATCCTCCAACACATCACTGAATCAAAGATGTCACTTTGAACTCAGAATTTCAATACATGCGAGTTAAGCTTACCAAAGGAGGCCATCAGACACTTCAATAAGTGGAGGCTACTGAGACTTCACGTACAACATTTATACATCTTAAGTTATCACCCTAAAAGCTTGGCTACCAGCTAAGAACCATGGTCTTTATTCTAAACTTTTTCCTCAAAGCTCCCATTGCCTGTGGGGAAACAACAATTGGGGCTTAGTACTGCAGGCCACCAAGCGCTGCTATACATGGATCATARTAAATAAGATCAGACCTTCCCAATAAAGTAGTTCTGATTCATCTGCAATACTGTCTTCCTTAAAGATTATTCAGCGCTGACTCCAAAAAAGCAAGAGCATTAGCTCCTTAAACAATCCTGACACTTCCYGTACTTCTAGGCTCTCTTCAAAACAAAGATAATCTCTTTCTATGCAACTGAAGGACCATTAACAGAAGTGGGTGGCTGGGAAAGGAGACAGACATGTATTTGACTGCAGTATAAGCAGGCAAAGATATTCCCTCAAGGTCAAAAGAGAAAAGGAAGACTGCAACAGAAGAGCTGATCAATTAACAAGTGTTCCCATTGGAAGGAACAACCACGGCTGAAGTTTTTGCAGTTCCGCCACGGGAACTAGGACAGAAACCAGCATTTCTATGACAACATGCCATGCCAGCGAGGATGAAAGTACAAACCAGCCAATTTTGGCAAAACATTTTGCCTGAACAGCAGCACGCAGATCCTGGCCACAGTATTTTGGTAAAGATTTGGGATCTGATGAACAGGCAGAGCGATGAATAGGCAGAGCTCAGACCAGCACTCTAAGAGCAGCCCCACTCTGCCAGACACACGGAAGGAAAGTCAGGTTTAAGTCAGAAGACTGTAGGAAAACAGCTCCTACAAAAAAACTTCCTTGAAGGTTTCCTGGAAAAAACAGTTCTGATGAAGTCTGCATGTTGTGCTGCACCTCAAACACAGTTTTCTTGTCTATTTATTTTATCCTTCCTCTCTCCCTTTTTCCCTGGAACAGTAAACTAAGCAGTTTATCAAGACTACGCTTCAGCTCTAGGTCTTTTTAAAGGCAGATTATTCAGAGTAGAATCTCAGGTTTTCCCTATCACACACACTTTCTTCTAGGATTTCCATTTCACTCAGCCTTTGACATCTGACTTGAGACAGACCAAGGGTGTTTGCTGCCTATCTATCTGAACTCATCAACTCTGGTTTGAAACTTCCTTAACCCCTAAAATCAGTTTTAGCAAATAAAAATAGCCAGAAAAAAAAAATATATGCTAATCAAGGACTGCAAGCCTCTCCTTTCCTCCCTCTCCAAATTTTCAGAACAGATATAGCAATTAGGTACCCAACCTCAATTAGGAAATATCTCGTTGTTCTTCCGCTCTTGTATCCCCAACCTTGGCATTTCCCATGGGATATCTATTAACCAAGGGAAAATGCCTGTAACCTTTTTGTAGTACGACTGCACTTAGGAGCCCAGCAGCTGTGCCAGACATTGAACTCCTCATATATTACCACTAAGGCACTTCCTTCACCAAACAGCTCAGCAGATACACAAATTCACAGAACACTGAAAGAAACACCCAGAATTGCTGGTTATTCAGTGGTAACCCCTCCAAGAGGGGAGTGAAAAACCCCATTACACAACATAATTTTCCCTCACCCATCCTTTCTGAAACATTTAGGAAATCTTATTAAAACAAAATTGTAAATTTGACTACAGCTAACCTCCAAAAAGAAGGATGCAAAGCATAAACTAACTTCTGATAAACCCCATCTACAAGAGAGATAAAAGAAGGCTATGAAAAGATGTTATTTAAAGATAAATGTCTCTAAGTAAGCACTGCTGTGTTAAGAGTAAAGGAAAGAATTAATTTCATAAAGCAGTCACAAAAATACACAGGGCCCCTAGCAAGGCAGCTGAAACATCTTTCCCGCCCCCCTCCTCTTTTCCTACATCCGAGAAGGCCAAGGATAATGCCTCATGATGTCCCAGTCAGCTTATGCAGCAAATTAGTGATATGACACTGATGTTTGGTCATTTCTGAGATTCAAGAATACAGTTTCTAGACCTTTAAGAGTCTAAAAGATACCCTTGAAGTCTAGAGACATTCACATGTTCAACTCCTCATTGGAAACCTTCTGGACTACCATGATTTTTAACAGACTATTTGAGGGGGTGTCAGCCCCATGCAGCTTTATCCTTCTGTACCAATGTACAAGCTAAACTTGCTCCTCAGCTACAAGCAGCAAAAAAGGCCACGTGGCCACTTACTCCYGGCGCCGTGTGCCCGTTGAGCGGCTCTCCTTCTGTTTGGAGCGGGGGGTCCCGAGYGGAGACGGTCGCTTTAGGTTGTTTTTCATCCTTTTCTCCAGCTTCATCACAAACGCTGGATCTGTCCAAAGCAAAAAAGAAGATCTTTTTCAGATAATTTCTGCAGTTTTGACAGCTAAAAACTTCCTTTAAAAGCAAACAAACACAAGACCTTAATCTGTAGCTTTTTAGCCAGTACTAAGACCATTGASTCTTCCCACATCCAGCTCATGAATCCATCAATCCACATTTCTCTCCCATTCTCACCTCTCAAAATTCATCTTCTGCCTATAAGGTTAATAAAGTCAAACACTCATGAACCAGAGAGAAAGTGAGTGCAGGGGAAAAATGCTAGACACAGGYTGCCTAGCCTAAATTTGGAAGGAAAATGTCTAAGATAAAAAAAAAATGCATTTTCCTTACTATAAAATTGCATAATAGTTTGTTTTTATGGTAAATGACTAGAAAATATTTAATTGAGCATCTTTTGAAGCTTGAAGTGAGCTTGGAGAAATTTTTAAACACACGCTCTCAGAKAGCAAAAGAGTAAAAAGGAGACAAGCTAGCGAGTTCAGCTTTCTACAGTTATTCTCATACATATTCAAAATGAAAACCTCCCTATTAGAACAAAACTGAAATTTTCACAAGCTAATGTTTATATCAAGCAACCAAGGAAGCTAAAAAAAATCCATATACAATTAGATTCTTCTCACTTCCTAAATCGAACTCACCACAATACAAAAATAAGCTACCTACAACAAACACAACCCCCCAAACGAGACAGACTTTAGGAAAGCAAAGCAACAAGTTTCAATCTCCAAGGAAGACAGGAGAATAGGGAAGAAAGGAAGTGTCTGAACATCCCACAGAGCCYTGTTCCTTACTCTCTGCTGTCCAACAATATGGAAGGACAGTATTTCCATAAGCTTTCTAACCTCCTCTTACCGAGGCTGCCCGTTGTCCTCGGAGGATGAGTGAAAATTCTCCATCTCCTCAGTATTCAGGCCCAGCTCGGAGCCATAGCTCTGGTGCACCAGCTGCCAGAATTCCTGCTTGGTCAGTCTCTGGAAGGAAGGGAAGCAAGCTGGTCAGGAACTGCGGTCCGGGACAGTAAGGCAGAGCAGCTAAAATGCTAAGTTGTTTAAATTATGCCACAGCCTTTAACCTCACTTCTGACAAGGACTAAAAGCATTTAGCTATCGCATTTCAAGATTGGATTTCAGCATTTTGGGGAACTGGACTCCCACCTACTYTGTCCTCGTCCCATCACTTTTCAACCATTAAAGGCAAACACTAAATATATATAGATATATTTAAAAGAAAAAAAAAATACATATATGCTTCTAGCCATCACTAACTTCTTAATTCATCACCAATATTTTCAGTTACCTTCAAAGCAGCTCCCTTTTGAATTCCATGGACTATGGCACAAGACCAGACCGGTAGCTAGCAGGGAGACTCTCTCTAGTCTTGGATAAACCGCTCAGTAGATTTTTGCCTGTCTTCTCATGAGGTTTAAAGCACTTTACAGGTGGTGCCAAGCTAATATTTGTCCCTAGCTGCCGCTGTCTGTGGTGACTCAATCAAAGTCTCTCCGAGTTGGGAAGGGAGGTGCTGGATTTGGAAGAGCACTACTTCCCTTGACTGCGGAGCATTGCCCCGGTGCCAGCCAGCGGCTCTGCTTCTGCTCTGGTCACCTCCCGTGGCCACTCTATAAATGCGCATGACTRCTGGGATATATTTAAGCTCTCTCAGATCATTGGGAAAGTTAAGCAAGCCAACRTGCGACAAACTCCTATCTGCAAAGTAAGCAGCAGGCTCCAAAGTCCACTTTTTCCATGTTGTGGAGGGCTCAAAGAAGGGGATTTGACAGAGCTCAGAGAACGAAACTAGTACTCTTTAAAGGAACCCGCCACACTGGAAAAAGTGCCTCAGCCCCCATCCATATTGATCAAGGGAACAGAACTTTGCTAATGAGGCAGTAACACAAGCACCGCTTGCTTATTTGCATGAAGCGATCACCTTAGGGAGCCATGCATTATTCAGAGGCCTTTTCCAGCATTCCCCCCCTCCTCCTCGCCCCGCCGCCGCGTTGGTGGGACGAGCGCGAGCCTCACGGCGGGACAAGCACGAGCCTCACCTGCGCTCGCCGGCAGAGCCGCGGCCGCCGCGCTCCCACTTCCTGCAACGCCCCGGCAGCCGGGCGCGGGCAGGGCCGGGGCGGCCGCGGGCAGCTCCCGCGTTCGCGGGGAGCGGGAGCTGGTGACTCAGCCTCGCTCGGGGCCACGGCGCTGCAAGGCCTGGGGCAGGGGGCGGCCGCCCCGCTTTCCACCTCCGTGCCCTGTTGTGGGAGCCGCAACCTCCAGCGGCCACAACTAAGCTGCAAACTGTTTGCGCGAAAGGGCTGAGAAGAATCAGACACCTTTCTGCTGGGAACTACAGGACCGAAACCAGCCAACTGCCACCGTGTGCCCGATACTGCCACTACCCGTATGCCAAGTGCTAAGAAGGGCAGATGGCCAAGGCCACAAGTTAAATTCACCCTCTGCAGCAGCCTGTAGGCTCAGCAGGCTGCCCCTGTACGAGGAGTTCAGGGGCTGGCAAACAGCAGAGGAGTTCTAAGCTGTGCATTTTTAGGACATATAGAGTCATTTATAGTGTCATTATAAAGCCACCGCTATAAACCAACTGCTGCTTCAAGAAATTGTGCCCTCTGAAAGAAACAGTGCTCGGTTATTGCAATAAGTCATCAACGGGGCAGGCCAGCAGCAAATCACACTTGCTCCGGTGTACCAGGGGAGACAAGCTCCGGAGGGCAAGAAGCTTACAAATATTGCCTGGATCAGATTTGTACCTATGAGCAAAGAGGCTTGAGGGGTTCTGAAGCCCTGCTCTGAAGAGGAATTACATCGTCCTCTCAAGACAACAGCATATGCTGGATTTTTTTTTTCCTTCTCCCTCATCTCTCTTCATATACCAAGATTGCAAGCAGCAGCTAGGACATGTTCTTGTTTTCTGAGCTAGCAGCTAAGACACCAGTATTTTTATTTCATGCTATTCAGAGTGGTGGCACAGAATAAGCAATACTATATAAAATGCCACTGACGAGCAAGATAAAGATAAGCATGCAATAAATGACCCTTTTCCACTGCCTTGACACAGAAGCTGACAGGCAGAGCTGCTGCCATTTTATCTTCACTTCAAGAACCCCCAGTTCATCCAAATTTCTGCCCCCTTGCACATCTCTGCACTTACCTGCTGCAGCGTCTCTGGGGACCAGCGCAAATCTCTACCCACCAAAGCACAAGACAACAGGAACATAAATCCAGCTCTAAGAGGACTCAAGGGAATTGAGACTGATCAAGTTAAGCTCTTGTTCCATTAGAAATAAGGAACGCTGTATTTGTTTGGGATTTAAATGACCTGCCTAATTAGATTTTAATTAACTCCTTCCCCTCAAACTGGAAGGATATTTGACACCTGTAGATTTTAAGGAAATAAATGTCACTGCTGTTATTTCCCATAAAAGCCATTAGTAAAGTTGCTTTACCAGTCTGGAGAATCTGTCSTAACACACAAATTTTGGTTCATTTTGGTTGACGAACTACTAAATTACTGAAAGCGTGAGCAGATGTGGAAGCAGCTATCTGTTTTATCAGGGCTGGTATCATGTCTCTTCAGGACCTATGTTAATGACTCCTCCATTTTCCATGATGTTTCCCTCTTGAACAGGAGCATTTAAAAACAAATAAATAAAAAGTCTAGAAGWCGCCATTAAGCACATTTTGCTATAGGAACAAATAGAAGTGGATTTTTTTCCCCTCAAGAGAAACAAGTCTTTGAACAAGCCTTTAAAATGAGAAAACYTAAGGAAGGCCGTCTTAAGAGAAAGGTCCCCACAGAATTCCTGAGGGACCAAAGGAGAAGGGCATTAAACACAAAATGCTGCTCTCTGAGCAGGATTTGAAGAAACCAAGAGCTGGAGAACTGCAAGTCAGCTAAGGGCACCAGGGATCCTACCAGGACAATAGCACAAACTTGTTGGAGAGGGATAGATAAGAGTCTGAAGGTCCAAGGAAGCCAAGGAGCAGCATGCAGCTATTTATCGCTTCTCTCGTGACCTACAGGTAAACAGCAAATCACTTTTTCAAGCCACACTGATCTTACACACGGCTATTCATTCAGCTGTCTGAAACACGTGACATCAGGTACAAGGCAGAACGGCCACAAGATGGAGATCTGAGAAAGGGCATGTTGACCCTAGCAAGGATCTGAAGGGGTCTCCGGTGAGAGCGCAGCATTAAAGGAGGCAGGCTTCTCCTCAGAGGCATGACCACAGAGGGCAAAAGCCCTCAGCAGGAAGTGTGTTGAAGAGGCCAGAGCCAGTGACTGAAAATGACCCTCGGACTACATGTCAATTTGAAGTACAAACAGCCCCAGATCTAAATCCTGCCACCTGGTGATTATTTACCTCAGGGGGCATATATCAGCACTGTTGCAACTGACACTACTTTCACCAGCAAAGAATAGAAATGCAGTGGGAAATTCAACCCTAAACAGCATAGAACTTTATTGCCTCTGTTGTAGACCTATGGATAGGTTTGTAGATCTGAATGCTCATATATTTGCCCCCCTCCCCAACTGCATCAAACTAATCAGTAAGAGAGCTACCATTCCTAACGTTGGCAAAACATTAGTGCCAGTTACGCATRCAAGTCCAAAGATGCCAAGTTACTGCATGAAGAGATGGCTATGATGGTACAATTAAACAGCAGCTGATTTGAGGATAAACATTTCAAAGGAAAGAGCATTAATTTGGTCTTAATTGGCAGTTTCCTCATTTTCAGCCTCTGTTTTTACAAAAAAAAAATGCCTGTAGGCTGCCTTAAAATTCACCTAACCAAAAATGTGTGTGGGAACTATATTCCGGCATCGCAACAGCTTTAAGCCTTTAGGGACCATTGTCGTGCAGACTTATACAAGGATTACTTAGGCATTCAGTTGCAACTGCATTGGAAAATTAAAACAAAAGCCATAAACAGGAAGGAATTGGTTTAGCAAAAAAAATTAAAAAATCATATTTACAGTGATGCTTTGCAACAAAAGTATCATTATGTTTTTGGAAAGAAGATTAGCTTAAGTGCCACAAATGGCAATATAAATCAAGCTAACTAGCAGAAGCTGGCAAAATACACTTCCACATTGCTGAGCCCGCTTTCGTTGTGTTTATTCAAGGTCAGGAGAGTTGTAACAAGTGGGCTGGCAAAGGTTCAGCTCACTTATTCAAGAAGGTGCCYTTTGCTTATCTGGTCACAAATTAGCCATAAGAAATGCAAAGCAAATGTATACTTCATAATGCATGAAGCAAACGTATGCAATTCAGTTCTATATGCTTAAGTTGGTACCTAGGAGAAGCATGCAGCTGGCTCAGTCATCTTCAATAAGTGCTCCATCAACAGCAAAGCTGCAGATGGCAACATGAAAAGGGAAAAGTGGAAAGAGTKTATCTGGAATTTCCAGGACAAGCACCTGGAAACACACCAGGTTAGAATTCTGCATAAGAAAGAAAAACTTTAAGTAAYGTCTTTTATTTCTTAAGCAACATCTTTTATCATCCAAAGCTACATCTGTGCAAACTAGAAAGATCCTTTCACTGTTAACTAACCACGGGCACCAACACTTGCACACTTACCTTATCCAGCAACACATTCTGCCATAAGCGGAAGATGCTGAGGTAGCTTCTGTCTCTTGCACTGAATGACGTGAAGAAAAACTGCAGAAAAAGACAAAAAAAAAGTTTACTTGCAGGAATTTGCTGAAGAAAACCAGAATGCTTCCTCCTCTTCCAAATACTGTATGGTGATATCAGCAGTGACTTGCTCCTCTCACTCAAACCTGGGCTCATTTCTAATGCTTCCTAAAGCATGACACACCACTTCTCACCGCTGTTTGAAGCTTGCAAGAGAGAGTTTCCCAGTCTCCATACAGTATATAAAGGACACATTTGCTCTTTTGGGCAAACTGCAATCTTTTGTATCTTTAGTGCAAGGAAAGGCTTCCCCTTCAAGTAAATGACAAGTCTAATCTTTCTCTTAATTCTAAGTGGGAGGTTTAACCAACTAAAAAGATGCATGAGCCTAATTCTTACAGGCCAGAACCATTCCCATCCTTCCCCCCCTATATTCCCTTTGCCCATCTTTTCACATGAGAACAGCTAATCATTAAAATAGGATAACAATTAAATGCATCACTTGTGGGATTAAAATTCTCTTAGTGTGAAGTTTAAGCAGAGAAAGAGGGTTATCTGGATGATGGAAGTTAATCATTGAGAAGAAATATGGGAAGAAACAGCCAATTCTGACACAGCAGAATTTGGCATGGAGCAGTCACAGATTCACCCTGGAAATTGTCCTTTTTACTCAGCCAAGAATAATCATTTTAAAGGTACTATTCTTAACAATTCTTACTGGCAGAAGAAGCATCGTGAAATATGTTGCCCATAAGAGTATTCTGCTTCATATGTTACTTCCCCCCCCCATATACGGCCCCAAAAAACCTACAGTTCCAACAGAGCTCTGTGTTATGAGGAGACATCTCTACAATCTGAAACCCACTGAAAGACAGTTCTTTCATCCCCCGCAATTCTTTTTTGCAAGAGGATTTTAAAACCAGAGATTAAAAAAAGTCTGAATGGAAAGCCACTGAAAACCCCTACAAAGCCCCCACAAAAGACATAAATACACACCACACAAATACATTAAAGTTTTGGGGGTAAAAATCCAGCATCAGTGGGACAGGCTCTCCTACTTTGTCCCCTGTGGATGGCTGAATTATGAGGCCAGTAGGTGTAGAGACCAAGCTACCAAGTCTGCCTTGCAGTCAGACAGTTTCCTGACAAAACTGGAAGATTTGACATGGAAATAGTTACTTACGAATTAAAAAATAAAATAAAATAAAATAAATAAAAAAAATAAAAAAAATAAAAAAAATAAAAAGAGAGCTCTGCCCTGGAAATTACCATTTTAAATAAAAGTGTTTAAATACAGTTTTTCTCACCTTCTCTCCTTTCGTTGCTATCTGTATGGCATTTGGAATAAGCCGAGCGGTCTTCTCCTTTGTCATGAAAGTGATATCCTTCAAGGCAATAGAAATCTAAGCAGGAACAGATTTAATAAGACATTAAAAGTAATTGCCAAGTCTGAAAAGCTGTAAAGCCATTGAACATGCAAGAAAAAAATCACAAACTAACCCATAACACTGGGATAAAATACAGCTGGGGTCACAGGGGTAATGGCTGTCTCCAGCTGTGTCCCCAGCTGTTAACATTAACAACAAGTACCCAAAAGCAGAAACAAGTTACACCCACATTAACACAACTGGAGTTATTTTCTCTTTTTCATAGGATAAAAAGCCCAGCACTTTCTCTATTCATATTAGTGCAGCCTGCTACAGGAGGGTCCCAAAACCTGGCTCTGCCAATCCAGCTCCCAAGCTCAGATATCACTATACCACTCTGGCAAGCAAGGGGAGAGTAAGTTACTAGGATGCATGGCATTCTGGGGAGGCAGGGAAGAAGAAAAAAGTCTTTCAAAAGCTTAACTATACAAGGCTGCAACTTCAAAAGGACTTTTCTTTCTTCCTTCCTCCCATATCTTAAAAAAAAAGATTTTTCAACCAGATCCTTTACTGCTGATAAAATTAAGCTTGATTTTCAGTATTTTCACACCTCTGCTGTCCTGAGTGCACAGGGGCTACTTGTCAGCTATCCTGTGCACTTCAGAATACACACAGCAGACCTTAGATTATGTCAAGATAGAAGTGCTCTGATGTCTGCAGAACATTTTGCCACTTCTCTATTGATTCTAGGCCATCCTTGTCTTTGTTATTCACTGTTTTATGTTATCTCTGCTGCAAATGCAATAACTGCTTGAAAGAAAAATTTAACTCAGTCCAATTTGACAGGAACAGAGGCCAATGTGTCAAACACCTAGTTTGTAGCCTCACAAACTAGAAGTCCCAGCACAAGAACTTGCATCAAAGATAATTTAGATTCTCCTCAGTTATCCTGAAATGCTGGCATTTATACATGAGATGAAACTAAGGTTCAACATCAAAGTCTTTGAGCAGTACTCGGTAGCGTATCATGCTCCCAGCCTTACGGAAGRATATCACATGTTAAGCTCCTTCATAGGGGAACTCTTTTTAGCATGGAGTTAAGAGGCAAATTGAGAATTAGAATGTAAAAGCTCAACTTCAGCACACACGGGGAAAGTGTAATTCCTAAACTGCTTCCTAGGCCGAATAACTGAGCAGGCTTCCTGTGGCACACAGAGGCCTCCACTTATAAGGCAATAAATCTGCACTTCTACCTAGGGCCTTTCTTCTTTTCAGCTTGAAGTCACCAGCGTGAGCTTGACAGGATAAAAGTTCCTCATCCAAACCTTAAAGTCTAAGAGAAAGACAACATGGGATGCACATGAGGATTTTAAGAAATCTTACTGTGGTCTCCCATCGGAAAATGTTGCTGTGGAAACAGAGCCAGTTTTCCGAGAGATACAAGCGTCCTTGCAGCAAGATATCCTTCTGGAGCGCACAGGCATAATCTGGAGAGGGAGAGCAAGAACATTTACTCACTTTCTGCAGTTCAGTAGACCCAAACACGTTAAYTTGGAATGAAAGAGAGACATGAAAGTGCTGAACAGACCAAAAGCCTCATGCACTTGCTTCCTTCTTCTGAAGCCTGCGAGGGTACCTGGGTTGGGCTGCACCCAGATCCCTCTTCTCAGCACACCCCAGTGCCAGGGTCACCAGAAGTGTCTGCAGGAGGACAATATCCCACGGCCCAACTCCTGTGCATTACCCTGTACTTTCCAGGATGTGACAGGCAAGATGAGGAGAACATATGAAAAGTTTAACTTGTGAATATTTTTAAGTAATATGTAAACAATATCTTATACTATATCAGATTATACTGTTAACTCCTACATAAAAGCACGTCATTTATTTGCCACTAATTAAAGCCCATCACTAGCTAAAGTTATCTACAAAGAAAGGCACGAAAGGCAGCTCGAAGCAATCCAATTCTTCAGGCAGGGGATATTTTCAGAAGCTGGCTCTAAATTTTGTTATGATACTCCCTCTGGGTAAAATATTCCTACTAGGAAATGATTTCATCTAGAAGGCAATTACCCACTATCAGATACCTACTAATTAAGACAAAGGCAGAAGACTTGACTGTACTTTAAAAGCTCTTTGAGAGAACTTAGGTAATTTAAGGGCATGGAGATTCAGGGAAAGGAGTTTCAGAAGTGCTCAGCACTAAGTTGAGGCTTCAGGAGGAGAAGAAAAACAATCAATCATGTCAATGCTCTCCTTAGCTGTACTGCAAAGTTAACAACACAGGCTCCATGCAGAAGCACCAGTATTAGGACAGTTACACTCCAGGTATTTTCTGTATAAGGTATCACTAAAATCCTAAATGAAGAGATGCACTTAAAACTGAAATCAACGGATGCATTTGTTACTTTTAAAAACCTTTTTCCTCTGTTACTATCTGAGCCAGAATACTGATTTTGTACGGACAAGCTGAAGTTGCAAGAAGTTCAGAAGTCCCCAGTCATGCTAACTTTATGGTGAATCACCAGCTGCAGAAGATTCGATACAATTAAGAAATCTCTTGGATTTCCCCTCAAACACTCAAGTGAAAACTATGTTTCTTGCAACAAGCATGGGGCATCCCTACAAGCCCTTCAAGATGCAGCTGCAAGCAGAATTGCATAAAAGAAACCCACCGAGATAAGCCTATGTTTGAAAAGTTAAGAAAAGTCAGAGAGCAGAACAGCTAGGGGCAGGAGGCATTATATGAAAGAAGTTCGAGGTTACAGAATTTAAGCAATACCTCAAAAGCTTCTATTTGCCTCCAGCAGTTTTTTCCACAGGCCTGGAGTCACTGCCTAGTATTTCCAGACCATCTTACTCCTTTTTCCTTTTGCACATACCAGGGCAAAAGTAACTCCCAGAAGCAGCAGCACAAAAAGGAAGCAGCCATCCTCTTTTCCTGCATAGCTAGAATATAAGGATTTCCCTTGGAGTGCAGGGCAAGGGATGAGCAACAATTGGACCTTACACACCCACAAAAATGTAGGAACGCACTGGAAGAAAACAGGGTTTCTCCTTCCAAGTTTTCAGCTCCAACAGCCTAGATGCTGCTTCTAAGTAACATGTTCAGATAAGTTAAATTTAAAGGCATTCCTTTAAACTCATATTTTGAAAATCTAAATTATTTGTGTTGCAACAAAGGAATTATACTGTAGCACMCAGTTTGAAGACTTTTCTTTTAAATAGCTTAAAAGCAGCAGCAGTTACAAATCTGTTGATAAAAGCCTGAAAGTAATTGCTTCTTTGAGCTTTGTAAAACCTGTGATAAGTTTCTCTGCATCAAGCAATGGAACAGCTCTTCACTTAGTGCACCCAAAGGTCCTTCCAAAGAGCTACTGCTTTTTGAGGTTAAAAAGTAGTTACATAAAGTAATGACTTTGCTGCTGACAAGAGCAGGTGCTGCATTGTTGGGATTAGCCCATCAATAAATCTTTTGTCAAATAAGCAGGCAGCCTGCTCATTGAAACTATGCCTCACAAAACATTCCATTACTTTCTAAATCAGATCTATACAAGGTAAAACTGAAGCTTTGAAGTAGTATCCTTCTCTTCTGTTTAATTTTGGCACTGAATTCAAGTATTTTTAAGCAGCAGAAGGCATCTCAAAGGATAAAATAACTATTTCCTTCTGAGGCTAGAGAAGCATACAGGGATTTTGCTGTAAAAAGTGATATCAATGTTAATATTTAAATTTAAAGTTGACTGTAAAGGTAAGAGGAAAGGATTCTTTAAGCACTCATAGGACATAAAATGAATGCAAAGCAACAATGCTATATGGTGCAACAAAATGGCTGTCCTTACTGAAAAGAGCCTAACAAATCCAAGAGTTTTGGATTTGTGCTCTTCTCTCGCACTCGCAAAGCGGATTCCTGCCAGTGCAGGTTATGCTGAGGTTACATGCTCAGCATGCACTCTAAGCTGAGCCCTTGCAGCATGGCCTTTCTTTCCAGTTTGTGACTATCTCACRGCTCTTAGTTGGCTGTTAGGATGGGCTTGGTCACCCACTAAAATGCAAAAGAGAGTGACCTTGTTATCTTAACAGACGACCTCCCCATCCAGAAGAACTGAAGGATTCTGTGTCCTCTTCAATTCTCAGGCACCAAGATGAAGGACACAAAGCAGGCAGGACAAGAGAGAAATCCAGGCCTGGCATTCAGTGATGCTTGTTCAGAGACAGGAAGAATGAAGAGGTCTCAGCTAATGGATAGATTTTGCCACTAAACAATAGTAATAAATAAATTATTTTTAATAATAAACAACAAGAAGTCTACATACAAGAAAGCCACAACACACTCGCTCAGTTAGAGACATCAGTAATTTGGTTTGATTATCTTACCTACTACAAGTCTCTCCGACTCTGGCAGATGAGAGAACTGTCTCTTGAATTCCTCACTCCTGTATTTGTAAGTGGAACTTGAGAGCTGAAATAGAGAATAGCCAAAAGGTTGAGCAAAAAGACTTCTTTTCAATCATCAACTGTCTTTATACTAGACTATTTTTTATCTTGATGAAGGTTTATCAGAAGAATGGAAATGGATACGTGGTAAAGAAATATATTTGTGACCAACTTTATGCTTCCCTATGTAGCATTATTTTTCCAGCACTTAGGATAGTATGGTCCATACTCTTCCCTGGAGCAGGCTAGATGCCAATTAAGAGCCATGATAAGTGTACGATGCAGAGGGACAGACCAGCCCCTTGCAGGGCTAAACTTCTCTTCCAGCACAGGCTCAATGAAAAGGCAGCACCAGCACAGGAGGAGACGGAGTCACCAGSACACAGTCACCAGCCAGATGCCACCAGGAGTCTTACCACACAGTGGATTTCTTTCTTCCCCCAAGACTTGCTATGAGATTAGGAGAAACAGGACAAATCTCTTCCTCTGATCACAAACAGCACCACTGTTTGTTATCTCAATTTTCTTACCTGTTCCATTTCACTCCACATCTAAAGGAATCACTTTCTAGAACTCTCTTAAAACTAAAATTGTATGTTAAGCTCACAGCACAAATATTAAGTCTTGATGGACYGTAGCTGCTTATTCTTATAAGTAAGTGTCCCTGCTCCCAAACAAGTGAAGTAACAACAAGGCAGTGGTTTTGTCTCCTAAGAAGGGTCAGCCACTTACACAGCGCTCAGTTAGGAAGGCCACTAAACTAAGTCAGTGATTCAACCAGGCCACAACTAAAGCAGGAAAAAATTCATCTTCAAGTGTTCCCCAAACAATATTTTTTGAAAGCTTCCATTTGAGAATGGATTTTTTTTTTTTTTTAAATAACCTTTCTGAAGGCCTTAACACCATGTGCCTGCTTCTCTCCCTGGGTACCTTTCTGCTCCAAAACTTCAACTCATCACATGCATCTTGGTAGCATAAGCACAACAGCTCTTTAGTTTAGGGCAGAAAAAAATAAGGAAGGAGGCAGAAGAACCACTCAAACACACAGTCTTCCAGCATCCTTTACTAGAAGAATCAAGTTTTAATYGACACCTGTAGTACACGAGTGTGTCATCACCCCTGTAGGTGGGGTGTTTTCAAAACAATGCCAGTACACCGGTAGCTTTAATTTCTTAATAAACTGAATTTCTTTTCACAAGCTAGTCCCACTAGTGCCAGTCCCTCATCAGGGTTCCCACAAGTGACTTTGCCATCTTCCACAACAGATATTCCCACTTGCCATGGTCCAAGACTTCACAGCCCATCACAGCTGGCGTGTGTGGGATGGAGTGTTGAAGGATCTACCTACCTTTAAGGCTTGAGCTCTTCAGTTACAAGAGCAAAAGGTACTACTTGGAGATCAGGTATTTAAATATAAATACATGCAAGGACCAAGTTTCCCTGACGGGTTCCTAAATGTTACCTTWTCCCCAATAAAAGTCTCCCTGCCTGATTGCTGGTGACTACATGCTTGCAGGCTACTAACCAATACTTTAGGGGTCAAAATCCAAGAGATGGTGGGGGGAGACAGATAAAAATAGGTCCTTCCCTCCCCTTCTGAGGGAGGCGACCAGGTTTTAGTGCAACCAATGGGACAATCTACTAATCTACAATGGGACAATCTACATCCTGTTCGCCTGTGCTTCCAGCTATATTTCAGCCACTTCCAAGATCATAAAAACTACATTCTCGTAGTTTTTCTTGTAGAGCATGTGCTCCCTCAAAACAGGCTGGCTGTGATTTTTCCGTCTTGCCACATTCTACCAAGAAACACCCACTTTGCACGGATCATCTGAAACAGACACCCAGGGACTGCGTCACTTTGAAGAAATTGAGGGTTTTTAAAAAGAGAGGGAGGAAAGAGGAGGAGGGAGCAGCAAGCAACCTGCTTTAAGCACCAGACAGGCACTGTGAACTTTCTTTAGCTGTCTGCAGGTCTGATTTAAGCAGTTACACTTTCAAGGAGAAGCATATCCTTTGTCAGAACAGGCTGCCCACCAGAGATAAGAGCTATGCTAAAGTTAAGTGTTTTTGTTGTTAAAAGACAAAAGAAATTGGAAGGGGGAGACCAGGAACACTACGTTATCACAGACCCATTCATACTAATGCCTGACTCAGCCAGTTCAGCAGCTCCAAGAACAAAAACCTCAAGAGATCTTCAGTTCTACTTAGAATTGGATTTTCTTTAGAGCACTGAAGAGAAACCCTTCTACTAACTGTCCACTGAAGAGCCTGCTCTGAATCCTTATCTGATCAGCAGGGGGCAGGGGAAAAAAAATAGATATTGGAGCTTTCTACACCCATCTTCTGCTTATTTTATATGAAAACTAGCTTAAGAGCTARCTTTTAGGCACTCAGCATGTGGCTTAATGATTACTGGGTCAACGGACTTGGGAAACAACAGGGACAATTTCAACACTAGTGACACTACCAATTCCCTTAAAATGAAGGAAAAAAAAATGCTGTCTCTCTTCCTATCATCATTACCATATTCAAGCAGTGGCAGCACTTCAGACAGGTTGTCACCTTCAGGTTACCAATAAATAAATAAATAAACAAACAATAAAATTACCATCAGATACTGAAAGGAAGACATAAGTTAGGCTGCACTGCGAGGAGATGAAGACAGCAATTCATTTTGGACACACACACACACACACACACTTCCAAGTTTAATTATACCTCATCATGCAAATGTTCTGCCTGCGGACAGTCTCAGCCATTTGTGGGATATGCTATATTTAATCAAACTACTCAGCCCAATCAACACCATATTAGCATCCTTTATCTGAGGCCATAAAAAAAAATCACCAATAGCCTACAGACACAACMGCGTAAGAACAGCCCCAGAAAGACCCGACATTGCTGCAAGTCCTGAACCAGGAGATTCTCCTGTCTTGTTTAAAAATGCACCAAATTGCAGCTAGATGAAGGTTTCAGGAAAAAAAAACAACAGCATTAAGCAGTTATGCATACAAGGAAAGCCTGTTTAAAAAAACAGCAGCAAAAAAAGCAGCTTCCTTCCACTTTGATATCTCCAAAGCAATTCAAAGCAATGATGCCACAGATAATTCTTCTCCACCCATCACTGAAGGGCTCCAATTACACTGCATCTTCTCCCAAGGGCACAGCAGAAAAACACTAATCATTTGAAGACTTATTTGATTGCCCATATAGCTAAGCATGCAAAYAGCCAATCAGCCTCCGCAGAACAGCGTGCACATTTTAAATTTGCTAATCACCATAACAATCTTGCATGTGCTTTGCTAGTGTTTCTCTCTCCTTTTAAGACACCATAAAACCTCACATTACGCAACTATTTGCATTCTATATTTTTGACATGCAGGTATGAATACAAACAACTGAGAGCAGGTACAATGATATGATCAAGAGCAGTGTAACTCAGCTGTCACCTGATTTAAGYGGATCTTGACTTGTCTACCTCTGTAACCCACCAATCAACTTAATGGCAAAGACCTCCTGTTGTGTCACTTCCAAAACAGGGAAGCCCAGGTGAAGTTCTGTGAAGTTCCTGGACACTTAGTTATCTCTAATACCTTTGCAGGTATACAAAGGTATCTCTAATATCTTTTTTAGGTGTTAGTAAAAGGTATTAGAGATACCTTTGTAAGGTTAGGACCAAAAACTTCTGAATTCAGCAGTGGCAGAATCCACGGCAAACACAGTCAGGGAGGAGTTTGATTTTAGACAAAGAGGCAGTTGCACCTCACAAGTATATACAAATACATACACAAGCATATACAAATACAAAAAATCCACAAACCAATAATCCACTTTCAGTAAGTCTATAGCCCATGAAGACAGCTACATTAACAGACCTGAATTCAAGTCTCACTTGGCAAAACAAAGCAAGCAAATCTAAGGCTTCACGTGCTTCACAACAGACTTATCTATAAATGCAACAGCAACTCCCATGCAACTTACATGGGGATAGTGAAATAAAAGGGAAAAAAAGCTTTGAAAAAAGGAGAAACATTTTTGAGGTGAAATTCTTCTATTTTGAACATGTGAGGACCTTCCCAAGGTTCTTCAAAAACCCATTAGAATTGGCTCAATTTCACAACCCATCACATTTCAATGAAATAGGATTCAGCAGAAGCTGTTCCAACCTGGTCTATATTTAACCTCATGGGGCTCTATTTGCCACTTAATAGAGGTGCAATTTAACCGTACACATTACCAGATGACAGCTCAAAGCACAGTTATCACAAGTACACTCTACCCAGAGGGAATAGAGCCCATTCAATATCACATCTTGTGAACAGAGAAAATACACTTCAAGCATACAAAGAACTAAGCCTGCTGGGAACAGGTTATAGCTGAGAAGGCCTTTTTTCCAAGCCTTTTGTCTTTAGAAGCATTATAGATTTCCTCCTTGCGGAAAGAAAAAAATGCTTTAAAATATCCCTCACTTATGCTGAGCAACTGCTTTGTAGTATCTTGCATTTTCTTTTTCATGAGGAAGTGTTCTAAGCCATTTATAAATGGTGAAGGCAATTATTTCCAAGTAAGTGTTGTTAGGAAAGTACAAGTCTCAAATTTGACACGTACAGTGAGGAGCAAAGCATATGCTCTGTTTCAGAAATAAAACGGATTGAGGAAGAAACTAATGTAAAGATAAGAGACACATACCCAACACACATATCTCTCCTAGCTGGCTACAGTCTGTTGCAATCCACGCAAATTCCCAGCCCACATTTGGGCAGTCTCCATGGCTCCCCCTCTCTCACCCACTTGTTTAGAGCTGGGGTTGGACGTGATCCAGCAGAGCTCACTAGCATCCTGCCAGCCTCAGCTTGCAGGCCAACTTGGAAGACAGGCAGGAAAAAAAAAAAAAAAAAAAAAAAAAAAAAAAAAAAAAAAAAAGAGAGAAAACCACTAACCTTGCAAAACAAGCACACAAACCCTGCAGTGAGTGGTTAAAGAAGGAGAAAGTGTAAAAGCTGGAAGCAGAGTTGTGTATGT